TCTGGCCTGCCCACAACAAAAGAGAAAGAAACAATAAAACTTCACCTTTCCCCACTTACTCCATCTTTCTCTCTCCCCTCTCTCTCTCTCTCTCTCTCTCTCTCTCTCTCTCTCTCTCTCTCTCTCTCTCTCTCTCTCTCTCTCTCTCTCTCTCTCTCTCTCTTCTGCCTGGCCTGCTACAGCAAGCTCTGGCAAGCTATTCCCATCCTCTTTCTCTCTATCTGACCTGCTTCCAGGAAACGGCTCCAGAAACTACTCTCATTCCCTCTATCCCTCCTCTTTTCATACAGCTTGCTTGTAAGAAAGCAAAAAAAGCAAATGTGAAAACCTCAGCTTCTTACTCTCTCTTCAATCAGCTGGCTCAGAACAGCAAGCTCCACCAAGCCTTCTCTCTTCCTCCCTTCTATCTGCTTCCTCCTTTTTCTTCCCTTCTCTGAGCCACGCCATGCTGCCAGACCCATGGCAGCTGCCGGAGCTCCTCATCTTCCTGCCTAATCAGCAGGGCTCCTGCAAAGCCTCTCAGCTGGCCCCATTCTCACCCCAACTCCGTTACATTAGAAATACTGTTTTGTTCGGTGAAAATATTATTCAGGTTAGATTTATTTACCATTATACTTATTGAAACTGATATGACTATGCAAATGCATCCATCAAAAGGCCTATGATATAGAAGTGCATGGAGACTTAAGGACCTTAATCCAGCCAACAGGTTCCATTGATTAATGCACACAGACACATATCAAAAATAAAAAATAAAATAACAAATATTCCAGCTTCTCATTAGACTTCATTATGTCTTTTTGTGCCTTCAGAAACTTTTGGCTGCCAAGAATATTAATTAAAGGAATACTAACTTTTCTCTACACGTGCTTCAGGAAATTCTTAACCACTCTCTAGTCTTGCTCTGGTTTACTGCAGCTCTCCAAGCAATTCAGAATACCATAAACATTTCAATTTTAAATTTAAGATGGACTGTGAATAGCTAATTCATGTCAGGATGAAATATGATCTGAATAAATCGTCTTTGGGAAACAGAAGGACGAGTAGATCACACTACAGGTTGCCACAATAATGGGGACTAGTAAAAACTAGAGTAGAGGATTTACTTAAACTATGGGATGAATTGTTTTTCCTTATTATTCAGTGAAAGGGATCTTCATCCATTCTTGAATGGGAGAAAAAAGTGACTGCAGGAAATGGTCTGCCTTTGTTGCTGGTCTCTGTCCTATTTCTATTGCATCTGTTTCCACTCAATTTCTCTCCAAAGTAATATATGAAAAAACCTAACAAACTGCACACATCTTGAGGTTGTCCTTGTACAGGTATATGTTTGAATAAAAGGGAAAATACTAGTTTAGCATCAATACAGTTGAGAACAACTTAATCCTGTCTCAGTCATAGACTGGAAACAAGATGAAAACAAATGTATTTGTCTGATTGGTTGGTTGGTTGGTTGGTTGGTCTGCAGGTTGGTTGTTTCTACTATCACAGGGCAAGATAAAGAAATGTTGCCAAGGCTTGTTTATGCCATGGTTAGATGCAAGAGGAAAAAGGTTCTTGCTGAACCTAATCATCTTTATAGAATTGTTATGAAAATAAAATGCTTGAAAAAGGACCACTTAATCTACTGTGGGAAAAAGTTAGCTTTCACAAGTTGCACAAAAAACTCATCTTAGGTCTCATGATATAATTACAACTCTACACCACATCATTCTTCACTAAAGCCCTGAATTCTTGGCTTGAGATTAAAATGCAAATTTATATTTGTAAAAGAGAACAGGAAAAGGAAGAATTAAAGAAAGGCAAATATACAGATAAAGAAGGAATGTGAGAGCACACAACATTTGTTCCACTTCACTGTTTGGAAACCAAACCAGATTTTAATGTGCAAGCTCTTCATCAAGCAAGTTCAAAAATCAAGCAGATTTTGCTCACCTACAGCTCAAATTAACTTATATCATAGTTGACACAAATTGATGTTATCTTTACTATAATAGAGGTGCTAGCAAAAAAAAATCACATTTTCTCTTTCTTTCTTTCTTTCTATTATTTTTTATTTATTTGACTGTCTATCTCAATATAGTCATTCTGGGCAGCTAACAATATAAAAATACTGTCAGCAACACAATACAAAAGTAAAAACCGTAACTTAAATGAATTAATGTATTTGTCTCCTGTCCCCTTCTCTTCCTTTACTGCCTGTTCTTTTGCCTTAACCCCTTCATCAATGCCTTAGTTAAATGCCAGATTGAATTTCACCTTTTCCATTTGAACTAGGTTTCCAGTAGTTCATTGAAGGGTTTATAGATCATGAATGACCAAAGTGCTTGGATGTGTGTATTTAGGTCAATCTGCAGGATGATGCCTGTGCAGTGGGGGTGAATCTTTCTAAAATAAAACAGCTGCATAAGAAATGTCAAGGCACTGGAGGCAATATGATAGCTGCTATTAAAGCCCACTTTGAAACACTTCCTTTTAGCTTTGATAATGTTTTCATCTCAAAAGTTGCAACTGATTTTTTTTTCTTCCATTGATTTTTTTTCTTCTACTGACCTTAACTCAACCCCATAAAACATAGCTTAATTTTTAGCCTGTTCAAACTTTTTTTTCTCCCCAGGATAGGAAATAAAGGCTTTTGTATAAATGTCCATTTAATCATAACACTTAAAATTAGGTTTCTTCATGCTAGCTAATGATATGATCAATACAGTAAGATTTGACTGAAATACAATAGAACAATTACTGTTTTGCCCCAGGTTTGAGAAATAGTCTTGCCTATTAATAATACTGTGCTAACTACCCCAACATTGGTTATATACCCAGTATGCTCATTGTCCTAGTATCAGTAATCCTATCCAAACAAAAATGTGTATGAATGGATTCTGTGGCCCCATCAATAGGTATTTATGAGTTTGTGTGCATTCTTCAATAAGTATGAAATAAAATTAATATAGCAAATTAAACTGCAAGAGACACTGAATAAAAATTAGCTTAAATCTAGAAGTTAATTATTTCAGGAATCTTATTGTCCATACCCTTTACGTAAATGTTTTGCTGATACTTTATTTAAAGTTATTTTTGTGTTTGTAAGTATAATGTGGTTTATTAGTGTTGTATATCAGTGATATACAACATGATCTCTGTAGATGCCATAGGACAGGCTAAATAAATAAATTTCAGGAATCTGAAGTAGGAATGGAGGAGCTGGTATATAATTTTCCTGATCCATATTATAACAAAAATAAGAGATAGCCAATGTTTGCATTGGGGTCAATTAGCACCAGCTTAATGCAGTTGTGACAAATCAATATTGAAAGAAGAGATTTAAATTAATTGAAAGGTATGTCTTTGATTAAATTCAAGGGGCCACAATCATGACTAACCAGCATAATCACGACTCATGGCTGAGCAATGGACACAGGCAGACAACCATGTTCACAAGCTATTATCCAATCCTATCCAGCTGATAAAAAATGCATTCCAGCACAAATAATGCTTCTATGGCCACCAAGCCTTATTATCCCTCAGAAATGAGGGTGGTTAGTGGTATTATCTTTATATTTTTATTGCAGAAGAAAATAAAGAAAAACCATTGATGGATTGTCCTGATTTTGTTTCCTTTTCCACATAATATCATCTATTACAGCCGGGAGAAACAACCACCAATCAGTCTCCCTACTGTACATAGAGCAAATATTGGTGATAGAATCTACAACTCATTTGGCAGCATCTGGCTCTCTTTCCTGATTTAAACTGACAGCTCTTCAAGACAGCTTTGTGTTGTTGCCTCATACTCATAAAAAGACACAAGAAAAACTTTCTATATAAAAGGAATTACATAAAACCTGTTAAGTACTTCAGGAAGTGCTTCAGAACAAACCAGTCAAGCATCATTTAGATGCCTCTGATAAAGCTAAGGGCCAATAAGTGCTGGGCAGAACAACCCTATTGCTGAGAAAGTGTCCTAGATCATAGCCTCAGCAAAAATCATCTTGGGAAAGGAGAAAAGGACCACTTCAAAATGGAATGGCTAAATATGACTTTTTTTTCTGCTGCCTCTGCTGCACGATGGGAATGAAATAAATGCAAAATCATTAGGATGAATCATTAAAAATGGTTAATGGAGTATGTTCATTATGCTGTGTTTAGAGGGGTGTCAAGACAAATCTAATATCTGTGACAGCCTGAAAAAGAAAAAGCAGCCATGCTTATCACAGACAGAAAACCAATAATTTAACTGGAAATATTTACACGGTGGTTGCAAGCATCTGTGTTTCTAAGAAATCCATTAGAAATATGATTAAAAATCCAGGAGGAAAATGGAAGAAACGAAAAACAGCATTAATATTTAGTAAAAGGATAATTGGGGCTATGGAAATATTTCACTGGTATGTGATGTAAAAAAATTAAGAGGTCTTTAACAAAATCTCCTAAACTATCATTTTACTGTATTTTTGTGATAAAAACTAAATATCATTAGAGATATCCAAAACATAATCTATCTTTTAAAAAAATGCCAACTAATTCTAAACCAGAAGTAATAAAATAAGTTACCATGAAAAATGGCACTTTTTGATATGCTTGGGGAGATTGGAGAGAGAAAACTGTGAAACTAGTTGCTGACTAGTGGACTAAAATCATTGACAATAAAAATGGGATCTTCAATAATTAAGAGATGATTTTCAGGCTTTGGGGACTTCGTTTTAGACAGCCATCTTGTATATAGTAATCTCAAAAATATTGCGGTGTAAATTAAAACTGACCTCTTTGGCATTTAGGTCCAAAAAGTTTTATTATTCTGACATTACTTAAGATCTGATAAACTGCTATAAACATTTTATTAAACATCTCACTATCTCAAACCCAGGAATGTTGTACAACAAAACAGCCGCATTGTATCATTAAAGATGAAATATATTGAGAGTCTATGAAGAGCAATAACTTAAATATAAACAAGATTATCCTTGAATAAACAGCACTGAATGTGCTAAACTCCAAAATAAAACAAGAGAAGGATTTATTTATTTATTTATTTATTTTGCTATTTCTCCACATGTTTGTACTGGCTTATTCATACTATTCTATTTGCAGTGCTGTCTGAAAGTACCTTCATCTCCTTTAGGAGGGGAAAGTTGCATGGTGCATATTTATCTGATTGGAGTTAAATTTGCTTGAGAATTAGGATGAGGATGACAATGACTTTAGTATTTGATTCCAGACTGCAGGATGAAATCTACTGTAGTCTTTCAGTTAATAAAATCAATTCTGTAAAAAAAAAAAAAAAAATTCCAAAACTGCTATGGGAGGACAGGGTGCTTTCTTAGACAAAATTCTGAAGGCATTTAAATGGATTATAATTGGGGAAATGATGGCCTTCTGATTTTACTAATAGAAACAATTCTTTCCTTCAAGAATCAGAAACTGCCCTTTGGATAAATTTTGGCTTGTACTGCAAATGAGTCCAAACACCTACCTTGTACAGAGGCATCTGCTCCCTGAATTTCAGTTGCACTTCAGAAAGGCATTACATGTGTTCCATATTTCCATAGGTTTTCCAGTCTTCTGGAAGAATGGCACACCTTTTTAAAACATGCATAACAAACTTGTAAAAGAGCAGTAAAACTAAATTTGAAAAGAGCTAATTTAGTCTGGAAAAGAATTACCTCATGTATTTTCTGTCCAGTTCATTCTCAAGTATCCAAACTGAGTTTGGGCCAATCTTTATCATTCAGATAATGCTACTTCATGGGGAAGTTCGTTGGGAGGGAAATGAAGCAGGAAATGCTATGTACACTATGTTGAGGCAAAGTAAAAATCAGAGAAAGAGTGACATTCACCACAGGCAGCTGGAAGAAGAGATGGAAATGGGAGATGGAGCTGCTCTCCAATGACGGGGGCAAATCCGAAGAAGTGCAGGAGTCGACCAACCAGTTCCTGAAACAAGCCATGCAATACATGGTAGGAGGACCTAAAGGTCCTTTAGGTCTTCAGGACCTAAAGACAAAATCCAGACAATTCCAGAGCAAAAGAAAGGATCAACCGGAAGAAACCAAGTGTAGGGGGGATGAGTCAGAAGCAACCGAAAACATGGCAGGGGCAACTGGATCTATGGAAACAATGGAAGCCACCACTATCGCGATATAACAACCTGCAGCCCCTGGAGTGGGGAACGCTCCACTAGCCCTAGAGGGAGAGGTCCACCGGAGGAATTAGAACTGGTTCCCCTAGGGGTGAAATTTGATGAAATTCCCAGCAACTGGGCTTCTTCCTGGCTCATATGTTCACCTACATGCAAATGTATGGGAGAACCCTCCCCAGTGTGAAAGTCAGAGTCAGGGTCATCAGCCTAACCTTGGAAGGAACTGCAGATCAGTGGATGGTTACCCTGCACAACTCAATGTGCTAAAGCTCTGAAACTTTAACTGTTTCATTGACCACCCTGAGAAAGAGACGCAAAGACTGCCTGAATAATCAAAAGGCCTAAGATCGAATCAAGACCGTGAGGCAAGGATGTTGACTGGTGGCTGAGTACACTGAGGAGTTCTGAGACCTGGCATGCCACATCTTAATCAGCTGTTTCCAGGATGGGCTGAATGATGATCTGTACAATGCATATGTGGCTAGGGGTACCTCGGTTCGATTACATGACTGGTGCCTTCTGGCCGAAGAGGTGAAGATCGACTAGCACTGCAACCCGTACCACACTGAGAAAATGTGGAAACTGTCTCCACCAGAGAAGAAGAGAGAAGCAGCAAAGATCTCGGCTGCACACACACACACACACACACACACACACACCACTTGACAGCCTGCTTCAAATGTGGAAAAGAGGATCGTCGTGCCATGGAATGCCACAGCAAAAGAGGCAATCGGTAATCTGGAGGAAAGCTGACTAAGCCGAGCCAACGCCAGAAAGACATGGTCCCGAGGAGCACAGAGATCGTGGAGTTCCATCCAACCCCAAAACCAGGCAGTGGAACTCCGACCCCACCAGAAAGTGACTATGATGATGACCTATTGGGCTGATCATACCAATGACCATGCCCATAGAACTGTTAATTCCAGGCAGAGAAGGAAAAGTAACCTTGATCGCCCTTTTAGACTCAGGATGCACCATATTCCTGGTCAGCCCAGCCCTGGTTGGGAAATTAGGGGTCCAATTAAGGAGGTTAAGAAACCCCATCTCCTTCTGCCAACTTGAGGGTGTATCACAGGGGGCATCTCAGCTACACTAGCTACAGAACTCTTGGGGTTAAACAAAGGGAGCCACTCATTTACTTTAACCTTCATTGTGGCACCTGGAATGGAGTGGCCTCTCATCCTGGGGTTGGCATGGCTGAAAAAATGGAACCCACTGATAGACTGGAGAGAGGGACATTTGAAATTCCCCAGAGGGGGGAAAAAACCCTTACCGAGCAAACGAATCCACCCGGGAAGGAAACAGATTAGGGAGATAATGGCCACTTTAAACGGCGAGGCCATGCAAATCATACCCAGGGAGTTCCGGGATCTGGCTGAAGTTTTCAGTGAAAGAAGTTCAGAAGAACTGGGCCCCCACCAGCCCACAGACTGTGCTATCGAGATTTTTCCCGGGGTGAAGTTACCAAAGCCAAAGCTGTATTTGATGGCCCCCAGGGAATTGAGCAAACTACGTAGATTTGTTGGCAAAAACCTGGCCCATGGGTTCATATAAACAGCCAGACCCTGGGTTGCTGCCCCCATGCTGTTCAGGGAGAAGAAGGACTGGTCTCTTCATCTCTGCATGGACTATATGGGTCTGAATACTGTATGCATAGAAAATGCGTACCCCCTGCCTCTCATGAAAGACCTGTTGGCCCACCTATCAAAAGGAAAAATATTTTCTAAATTGGACCTGTGGGAGGCAAATTATAGAGTTAGGATTAAGGAAGGGGATGAGTGGAAAACCACTTTCAACTGCCCCCTCGGATGTTTTCAATTTAGAGTGCTCCCTTTTGGTCTGCAAGGGGCCCCAGCTGTGTTCATGCAGCTGATCCGTAAGCATTTGTATAAGGGAGTTTTGGTGTACCTGGACAATATATTAATTTATATTAATGAAGGTGGAACACGTGAAGTTGATCAGAGCAGTCCTAAATAAACTCTGAGCAGCTAAGCTCTATGCGAAATTGTCAAGGCGTGAATTCCACAAAGGGAAAATTGACTACCTAGGCTACAGGATTTCGCAAGACGGGGTGGAGATGGACCCAGAGAAAATATGCGTCATCTTAGATTGGGTGCCCCCCCTCCCCACACCAGAAAGAAGCTACAAAGCTTCCTGGGCTTTACAAATTTCTACCGATAGTTCATCCCCTATTTCACCCAGATTGCTTTACCTATCACAAACTTGCCTATCTCTACTTTGCCTTCTCTTCTTGTGTCTTTTGCAGGTGACTATCTAGAATGGAAGTTGTTTGTGAATAATACAGCCCTCCATAGCAACAAAGATAAGCTCTCACAATTCCAAATTCTAAATGTATCTATGCCTGAATTAATTCAGAATTGAGAAACATGTGGCACTCCAGATAGTAGACCACACATCCCATATTTTGTTCATTACTGGTTCTCCTAACTATGACTATTTGAATTCAAAGTTCAACAATACTTGGGGGACTATCACTTACTCCATTCCTGCATTAAACAGGTACATGAGTTCATCTTTTTAGAATTTTTAACAGAAATTTTATTCTTCAGATCCCAAGAAAATGGCAACACTGACAAAGGGTAAAGCTACTGTCGTTGCAAGTCTGCTGCTGTTTTTAATATTGCCTGTTCTAGTACAGTAATATCACTTTGGCAAGAGTACCAGACTGATATTCACAGAACCGCACTCTTCAGGAATCCCATTACTTCCAAAGGTATTAGTAAAATGATCCCAGCTGAAAGCATTTATCCAATTCCCATTGTTATTTGGACAACTAAATCATTAAAGGGGGCTGTATCATTTCCCTTGCTACTGTTTTCAAAAAAAATGTGATGTCTCTATAGAATCAAATCTTGGGAAAAACAAACCCTAGCTGTGGAGATTATTCACATACTGTAGGTATGCATGTATCTCTGTGTGTGAGAGAGAGAAATAAATAGACCTACCTTTACTAAAGCAAGGTTAGTTAGGAACAAATGCCCATAATACAATAATTAAAGAAAAATGAATTTCAAATAACACTTTATAACTGTGAAGTTTCAAAAGAATATTGTACATGTGCATTTAAAAGCTTCAGATTGATTATAATTAGATTTATGTGAGCACAAAATACTCTGTCTTGAATATCATGCTGTCTTCAGTGTTACTAACCTCAGTCATGGATTGTAAACAAAAATCTGTATTAAAACATGATTTATGAACAATTTAAACTGCTTCAATTCTATTTGACTTTAGGGGATCAGATTATTGTATCTCAATTAAATACTGTAACTACATGCCTCTTTTCTTATAACACATGCTGTGTTTTCCTTACACAGTATGTAAAATTTAGGCTTATTCGATTTAGAATAAGCTACCTTAAAACTTTTTTAAAAACTTGTTTATTGTAAGAATAATATTTGGTATGGTAATAATATTCAGAAGAATTGAAAACCATAGTTAATTGAAAACGCATTGGCTTAATTTCCACATATACAAACAAAACAGTAAAGAGACTATGTTTATAGATAAAAGGCTCATACAAATGATTGTTCAAAAAGTCAGTGTGTTCACACTGTCCTTGTCGTTTTGTTCCTTCCCAGCTCAATCCTATGCACAGAAATCGGTCCTGTTAAATTCAACCGGATGTGTAATTTATAAAAAGTATCAGTCTTACTGAGATGTTTATAATGTCAGTGACATATATTTGTAACTGAATAAGTCCTACAGTTATATGAAGGGAATCTGAATTAACAAATAACACCAACGTTTTGTGCTTGTTTCATAAAATAAGATGTTTGATGTGTTAATATGAAAAATAATCACACAATTTGATTAAATAGGTAACTACCACTAGTTTGTATTTCCTTAAGCCAGAGGTCCCCAGGAACCAGTTCTGTGGAGAGAGGTTTTTCTGAGAACTGGAGGGGGTGTGGTTTCATGTACTTCCTGCATCCCACGGATGGGGCTTTGCTTGTTTGCGTGGACCAGTTTCTGGCATGCCGCGGCCCAGTGCCAGTCCATGGACCGGGGATTGGGGACCCCTGCCTTAAGCAATTAAGGCTCATTTGTTTTGTTTTATGAAATATTTTTAAAAAGAAGATTGAAAGCTAATAAAAAATAATTTAAGGCCAGAAAAAGAAGAAAAAGCTAAAGATGCAAGAAGAAAATGTAATGAAAAATAGAAAAAAAAATACAAAGAAGTATTGTGTTTCCCCCCAAATAAGACTTGGTCTTATTATTATTATTTTTGCCTCCAAAAGAGGCACCAGGTCTTATTTTTTCAGGGGTCTTTTCCACCTTGCCGTGGTGGAACTGACAGCCCTGCCCAGCCATCCCACTTCTGCGGCTGAAGAAGCAGTTTCATTTTGCAGCTGAGAATGGAGCTCGGGCCTGCATTTTGCAGTTAGGGGCCTTTCCGGAAGGCCTGTGCAGCCGAGA